CTACAATTGGCAGTAGCATGCCCAAGGCCTCCACAGTTAGAACATTTCACTACGGTCTTCCCACACTCAAATGATTTATGACCCAATTCACCACACTTGTAACACTTAACGGAACCGGAACCTCCTCCTCCAGATCTCTTATCAAAGTTTCCCCTATGCTTGCCTTTATCAACGGTGTCACATAAGGTCTACTTCTAGCTTGTTGATTTCCCTTCCTCTCATTCAAACTTTTGTAATGTGTAGAACGAGCCTTGCTATCTTCCTCGAAGATTCTACAACATTCCGTCAAATCCGTAAACCTTCTTATCCTTTGATATCCCACAACTTGATTTATCTCGGGACGCAAACCATTCTCATATTTAATACATTTTAAGAACTCAGCAGTAATTGCAGCATAGTGAGAATGAAATTGAACCAACTCCACAAACTTAGCAGTATAGTCCACCACGGACATACTACCTTGTTTCAGTTCAAGGAACTCCATCTCTTTCTTCCTTTTCACACTTTCAGGGTAATACTTTCTCAAGAATTCAGTACGAAATAAATCCCAAGTTATCTCTTCATCATCTACCTCAAGAACTTGACGCATACCGACCCACCAATCGTCGGCTTCTTCCTTCAGCATGTGAGACCCAAGTCTCACCTTATTCCCCTCCGCACAGCCTATGACTCTGAAGATCCTCTTAATCTCTTTCAACCAAATTTGGGCACCATCGGGATCAAATCTTCCTTTGAAAACCGATGGTTGATTCTTCCTCAACTCGTCATTAGCATTTACGTTCGGTGCACCTTGCACTGCCCTGGCCATTTCTTCCAAAGCAGCAGCCATCGCATTTTCGTTTCGACCAGCCATATTCTGACCATTCCCAAAAATAACAACAAGGTCAAACAACCGTTCAACCAACACAACAACAAGACAGATACAACTGACTCAACACTGGCTCAGATACCACTTAATGTAACATCCCCTTTCTATACCCCCAAATAATCACATAATCAATTAGTCACATATTAAAAATTTCATCAGAGTATAATTCAAAATATAGTATAAAAGAGGCGTGTCACATTACGCGTGAAATTAAAACATACAACACCTGCTTAACAAAAGATATGCAACAATGGGGTAACTTTACAATAGAGGAACTTAGTCCTTACACCCACATCTCAATATTTAGAATAAAAACGGAAAATCTAAACATTGAATAACATCAAACATATATATATATATATATATATATATATATATATATATATATATATATATATATATATATATATATATATATATATATATATATATATATATATATATATATATATATATATATATATATATATATATATATATATATATATATATATATATATATATATATATATATATATATATATATATATATATATATATATATATATATATATATATATATATATATATATATATATATATATATATATATATATATATATATATATATATATATATATATATATATATATCATCCAGTATGATTCAACAACATAAGACATGTTTACAAAAACCTTCATCAACAAAATACATATACAAATGTATCACAAAAGAATCATGGACAACCTAGCTACCCGGTGCTATTAGAGCCGACCGACCAAAAGAATGAAGACACGCTTCACAAAAAGACCTCCAGCATACCTACTCTGCAATGCCTCATAGAGCACCATAAAACAGCAGAAGTGTGAGAAATATTATCATAACAACAATGCATATAATTATATATCTTAGCATAAAATGCACATATTCTACATTCTCACCACAATTCATCACAACTCACTCATATACATCACAATGTATATATATATATATATATATATATATATATATATATATATATATATATATATATATATATATATATATATATATATATATATATATATATATATATATATATATATATATATATATATATATATATATATATATATATATATCTTAGCATAAAATGCACATATTCTACATTCTCACCACAATTCATCACAACTCACTCATATACATCACAATGTATATATATATATATATATATATATATATATATATATATATATATATATATATATATATATATATATATATATATATATATATATATATATATATATATATATATATATATATATATATATATATATATATATATATATATATATATATATATATCTCCAAGCATATTCATCATGCATACTTCCACAATTCTATCATTCCACATAAACATACACATTTGTGCTTTTTCACCAATGCACCATTATAAAGATGATAAATGCAAATCATAGAGACCGACTCACGACTCTATGCAAATGCAATGCGATACCGACTCAATCATCTCAAGTACACTCAGGAACTTATTGGAACCATCGCTCATTACCAATGTAACTCACCGTCGGGCCTATGATGTTCACCCATTGCTCACACCTCACATAGACACACAATATTTATGGATTGCCCACACCTCACATAGGCACACAATTGTTTGTAATCATCGCTCATACCTCACATAGGCACACGATGTTACAACGGATTCTCATTAGAATCACACAACACAAGAACGTACATCATTATGCTTCACATACAAAATGAATCAAGACATTCTTGAAATGCATACATATTCACAATATATTCATGCATTCATCTCATACCACAATCGACACACATTCACATAAATTACGCCAAACAGCAATGAGCATCGCTTTACCACCTAAATGGCAACGAACTCTATCACAATTATCATGCATTCACATTTAATTTAAACAATGCATTTATTTGCCAAAAGGCCAAATTCACAATAAATTCCACAATCTAGGATTCACGCTATACGGCTACCCACAACATATCATATAACAGCACACAAGCTACACGTTTCGGGAGAAGGTTGAACAACATCCGAGTCGAAGAATCGATATTGAATGGAAAATAGAAAAATAATGTGCTGTCATGCTCGCTAGGCAAGCAGAATGGCGAGTCCTTCGCTACTCCACTCGCTCCAGCGAGTTTTAGTCATTTTGGTTATGTCCAAGTCTGGGAGTGTTCACTGGTAGCTCGTTGTGTGCTCGCTTAATGAACACTTCGCTACCTCACTCGCCAGTGATTCGCCTAGCGAATACTTCGCTACTCAAACCCTCAATTATCCAAAAATGTCAGAAATTCATAAAATCACCTGATTTCAATCAAACAAGTTTCAATAGTCTCGGCCTAACATTCCTCGACTGAACTACGCAATTTATTTCGAATTCTAACCGTGAAAACATCGGTTTCTATCGATTTAACCATTTCGACCTAAAATGAAAATATGTAGAAAAATAATCCAAACAATCCAACAAACACATACATAATGATATACATTGATGAGATAATAAGATTTTATACTCTTACCCGATTAAATCGATTTCTACAAGTTGTTTTGAAGATTTCTACACTTTTCCTCTTTTTCTTCTCTTTTCTCTTCTTCCTCTTTCTTTCTCTCATTTTTCTTCTTTCTTTCTCTTTTCTCTCCTTTTTCCCTCTTATATCTTTCTATTTTAATTCCTTTCTATTATTTTCTCTCTCAAAATATCTAATAAATTATCTTCTTACAAAAAAATATCTAACTTGACATTAATTAAGAAATATCTAAAATACCCTCCAACCTAATTTCCCCGAAAACTCTCAAAAACGATAAAATAACACAATATGCAAACATAACATATTAACACACCAATTCCACAAATAAAATAATAACCACCCAAATAAAATAAAAGACTCAACAAAAATGGGAAATCTGAATCGGGGTGTTACAGGTATCCCCTAGCTAACTGTTTTTTTTCCCTCCTATTTTGTGTTTTGCGAGGGGGTTTAACCCCAAGCAAATGTATTTATTTTAGTGAGGGGTTTTCCCCCTAACCCATGCCCCTAGCTAATTCCATGTTTTCTTGTAGTTGATATAATAAATATGGATTTATTTTTTGGAAGATCATCAATACAATTAGTTAAATAGAAAGAAGAGAGAAGAAGAGGAAGAAAGGAAGAAAGAGATGAGGAAGAAGGAAGAAAGTAAGAAAGGATTGTGTGTGTGTGTGTATTTTTGCATGTGCGTGTGTGTGTGCGTGAGAGAGAGAGAGAGAGAGAGAGAGAGAGAGAGAGAGAGAGAGAGAGAGAGAGAGAGAGAGAGAGAGAGAGAGAGAGAGAGAGAGAGAGAGAAATGAAGAAGAAGAAGAAGAAGAGAAGAAAGAGAAGAGTCAGAAACGGTACGCATAAAGTAAAGAACAATGTGTGTGTGTGTGTGAGAGAGAGAGAGAGAGTCAAAAATGGTACGCATAAAGTAAAATCTTTTAAAGAAAAGAATTGTATTAGAATCATATGACATCATCAATTGAATCAAATCTAAACATCAAAGGCATAATACAATAAATATGTAGTTGAAATAAAACAATGTGTAACATGATTAGTTGCAAAAAGTAATATTTTAACTAGAGTTTTCCACGACATCAAATTTTCTTATATTGTAGATTAATTTTTATATATAATAATTTACAAACTAATTTGATGGTGAATAATGAATACCTCAGCCAATTAAGTTTGTTGTGTTTGATAAAACTAGTGGTTAATTTAACTTATAAAATTTGAAATGTCTTAAAAATGTTTGATTAATTAATCTAATTTTGAAGTTTTTTCAATTTAAGATAGCATGAATATCAACTAAAATGTTTAAATAATAAATTACTTAAATTAACTAATAAAAAATTATAAATCAATAAAAAAAATTATAAATTTGTGTGAAAGTGATAATATCAATTTTTTTTTGTTTTAATAATATTCGAGATTGTACAGTATAAATCATAAACTACGTCACCAATCCGAAAATGAAAAGAGAATAATAATTCAATTTATTATATGGCAAAAAATAACAATGAAGGGGGAAGAGGATAATGACATAAATTGATACAAATACATAGTAATTTAAATTATGCCTTTCTGTTTTAACTTAAATCCATTATGCCTTATGGTTGTATGGAGCTGGGGCCAGAGAAGCTTTAGGAGCACCAACTGGACCATGCCTCCTTGCGTGGGAACCATCAAAAGCTACAGCAATAAACATTAAAGTTATTATGATTGTAAAAATTAATCCAATTTATTTTTATTACTAATAATAATAATAAAAAGAGTGTTGATCACTGAATGACTTTTATAGCATAAAGATGAAGTGAAACTTACATTCCCACATGACGAAATTATCACAACGCCATTTACACAATCCTCCTGATATGATTCCGGGCATTAAACTTGCAGCGTAGCAATAACGGTAGCACTCTGCTGGAGGCACTACTTTTTCACCAAATTTTATGGAAATATTCTGACCTTCAACAGTTACAAGGCATGCTACCAACAACAAAGCAACAAGTTTGTTTGACATTTTTCTTTCAAATTTTTAAACTTTAATCAAACTTTCATTATGCTTTTTTGTTGGTAGTTTTATTGTTTTCCTCTTCCCCGATTTGTTTATGTGGAATATGGAAAGCATATATACATGTCTTTGTGGATTGTGAGCCACAAATAATGTCAATGTTTGTTACTAAAATTTAGTTGGTTTTCTATTTCTTTATGACTTAGGAATAGGAAACCATTTGCTTCTTCAACATTTGTTTCTACTTATTTTTAGCTAAGATGGTGTGTCCTCAACATTATACATTTTACCTTGTTATATTATATATATATATATATATATATATATATATATATATATATATATATATATATATATATATATATATATATATATATATATATATATATATATATATAGAAATTCTTTAATGTGGGAACAGTATAAATAATATTCAAAATAAATTTATTAATACTAAATAAATTCACATAGAATATAAAAATATAATATATACGGTCATACCGTATATGGATCGACCCAATTTTGTCTATTATTGAAGCTGAAATTAAATAACATATATTAGTTAAATTTAAGTGAAAACACTGCATTCTTTATAAAACGTGCATCATCAAATAAAATTGTTTTATGAAATTGTCCAATTACATTATATTATAGTATATATGGACACAATGTTTAGTCGGGGCACATGCCCATATTCTTGTACACCTAACTCCGTCGATATTTATATATCCGCACGTGTGTGTTTTTTATATTGATTAATAATTATTATTATTATTATTACTAAAAAAAATGGGGGACATACTTACCTTGTAAATTAATTTTATATTATTAATCAATGATGATCATGTATTATGCCAAGTCAAAATAAATTTTTTAAAAAACATGTATGATTTAGTGATATATTTTTATTAAATTATAGTGTAAAACGTTTTTTACACTCATATATTTCCATTAATCTATTATTATTATTATCATTATTATTATTATTATTATTATTATTATTCACAGGGACGGATCCAAAAATTTTAATTAATGGGGTCAAGGTTAATTTTTTTAATACAAAAATAAAAATCAAATAATATAAATATTTATAAAAAAATATAAATACTTATGCATAAAACGATAATGATAATATATATCTTAAATTTTAAATATTACAAAACAAAGCACAAGTATATATTAAAAAAAATGAAGACAACATAATATTCAAAGATTATAATTGTTTTCTACGTGTTTTCATATTTTGAAAGTGTTGTAAGAAGAAAGAAGACAAAAAATATAGTACTTTTAATTTACTTGTGTCTTTTTAAAAATTATGACCAACTTAAAAAAAAAACATGCTTATTTGGCGCGCAAGTTTTAATGGATTGAATCTATCACTTTCAGAATTTGTTACCTTTTGCGTTCAATCAAGGATTTGATTTTAAAGCTTGTACGATCATTTGGAAAATATTTATTCTGAATTCTTTTTTAGCAAAATTGAATTTCTTATTCATACCAGATTTATATTTAATTAGATTTGTGTTAATCAATATTTAAAATCAACATTACAAAGGTTGATTTTTTATGCGCCTTTTGGAATCCAACCAGGTTCGCGTCAAAACCATAATTGGGCTTTAATGTTGGTAAATTATTGCTATTTAAAGAGGTGTTCCTTGTATGTGAAGACTCATTTCATTGTGAAACTTGACATTTTAGCTGTTATTGATGATGTGTTTTGGGTGTAATATTGTATTCCAGGGTTATATTTCTAAGCTAGGAAAATATAGTATTTATGTTGTAACTGTGACTCATCACTTAATATAATGTTGTAATTGTATAAACACTTGGGAGAGTGTTTAGGTGAAAGTGAGAGGGGTCTCATATTCAGGGGGAACTTGAGTCAACGTTCATGGATAGTATTAAAAAAATACACTAAAATTGGAGAAATTAGATGAGATTGTTATTTACTATTGACTACTAAGAGTGACTTTGCACAGAACTAAGTTAACAATTACTTGTGCTATTTAGTTTAAACATTTATTATCTTTGTTACAAAATCTTGTTGTCATATCCACTATTGCAACATTGTGTCTAACTTCTTGTTATAAGTAGACATTTTTTTAATTGGTATCAGAAAAAATACCATGTTCTAGCTGGGTGAGTTCCAGGGTTTCCCCTACAATCTGTTTAAGATGGACAACACAAAAGAAGGAGGATCAGTGAATAAACCACCAGCTCTTTATGGTACTAATTATTATTATCATAGTCTAGTATGATTACCTATATCAAGTCAATGGACAACAAGACTTTGAAAACAACATTAAATGGATGGACTCCTCCAAAGGTTAGAGCTGAAGACAACACTACAACTTTGAAGCCTAAAAAAGATTTTTCAAAGGAAGAAGACGAATGAGCACTTGAAAATTATCATGCCTTTAATGCCATTTATAATGGAGTTAACAACAATATCTTCAGAATCATTAACACATGCACCAACGTTAAAGAAGATTAGGAAACTCTTCATGACGAATTTTGAAAATCTAAAGATGAAACTGTTGTTGAATTTAATATCTGCCTCCATGACATTGCCAACAACTCTTTTCCCGTGGTGAAAAAATGTCAAAAGAAAAACTAGCAAGAAAAATTCTTAGATCTCTTCCAAATAGGTTTGATATGAAAGTCACGACCATTGAAGAATCCCAAGATGTAAGAAAAATGAAAGTTAATGAGTAGATTGAGTCTCTTGTAACTTTTGAAATGGTGATGAATGGAAAATCAAAGAAAAAGAGAAAGAAAATGGTGTTCAAAACAGATGTTAAAGAAAGTGATGACCAAGAAGAAGGTGAACTTGATGAAAACTTGATTGAATTTATTTCCCTTCTAGACAAGAGTTTTAGCAAGGTCATGAGAAGACAAACCCTCCAGCTATTCTAAACTCTAGTGAGAACAAGTTCGTTCTTTTCATTTTTTATCACAGTGAGTCCAGATTTCTTTGGTATAACATGCACTGGACTTACCTAGTTACTGTCAAAGATAGGACATATGATACATGCTTGTAATAGCTTTGTTACCTCTTTCTTCACCACATCAATCATTAAAGGATTAAGCCTCCTTTGGGGCTGCCTCACCACCTTAGCTCCTTCTTCAAGCAGAATCCGATGCATGCACCTGGAAGGGATAATACCGGGAATGTCCGCTAAGGTCTACCCTATTGCCTTTTTGTGCCTCTTTAAAACCTGCAAAAACCTACTTTCTTGATCGAAATCAAGGTTAGTTAAAATAATAATAGGAAGCTTATCATTTATGTCTAAGTAGACATATTTGAGATTTTCTGGGAGAGATTTGAGGTCTAAAGAAGAAGGCTGCTCAATGGATGGGATGGTCGAGGCAGCAGGGATGTCTAGAGCCTCAACCGCACAAACCACTTCATCTGTAACCTTATCCACCAGCAGGGAAATTGTGTCATCATCAACATCGATTTTTGTCTTCATCGTTTTCATAAACGGTCTGCCGAGAATGATGGGTGCCTTGTTTGACTTTGTTTCTCCTTCCATGTCAAGAATATAAAAATCTGCAGAAAAAATCAAGTTGTTAACTTGCACGAGGACATCTTCTACGACTCCAGCGGGGCGGGCATTGCTTCTATTTGCCAGCTGAATGATTAAACATGTATATTGTAAAGGACCAAGATCACGATTATTATAAATAGAAATAGGCATAACATTAATATTGGCTCTTAAATCAAGCATGCAATTTTTGAATTTACTATTCCCAATGGTACAAGGGATAGCAAAAGTTCCTGGATCCTTGCACTTTTGTGGTATGGGCTGGAAGTGGGCTGAAACATCTTGCTCAGCTATATCATTAGATTGGTGGCAAGGAAGGTTTATTTTAAAATGAAAGAGTTTTTTTCTAAAAGTAGTAGGTAATATCTTAGCTTCTGAGAGAAATATTATATCGAGTAGGTGAGACTTGATGAGTTGTTTAAGTCCACGAATTGTCTGGTGATTTCCTAATCCCTGGAAGTTCTAACACATGATTTTCATACTTCTCGGCTAGCCTTTTCCAAGGAGCCTTCCAATTCTTCATGAGTTTGAAATTTAATATGTGGTGCATGATTGTCTTCTAGCCTTCTTTTTTTTTTTATAAACATTTGCTACTAGGCTTTGATTGTTCTAAATAGTTATCTGATCCTCATTTTTTAATGGTTGCTAATTAAATGTTTCTTACTACAAAAAATAGATACAACGATGCCACCTTTACCATGGTCCTTCAAAGGACCGTGGTGATATCTCTAACTCATGCGCCTATATAATTTTTTATTTTTTAATTTAACCGTTTTTAATTATTATCACTTTTTTCTAAAACAACCATGGTGATATAATTTGACATTTCATGAGTTCGACTCTCAGCGCCTGTTATTTCGTGATTTCTTCCGCATTTAGCACCGCCTTTCATTATAATTTAATTAAAGAAAGATATATCATTATGGTTCTTTAAACAAATTGTTGTGATATATATATATATATATATATATATATATATATATATATATATATATATATATATATATATATATATATATATATATATATATATATATATATATATATATATATATATATATATATATATATATATATATATATATATATATATATATATATATATATATATATATATATATATATATATATATATATATATATATATATATATATATATATATATATATATATGCTACTTAAAACCTGACGCTTTTTTTTAAATATCATTAATGTCAATATAATATCACTACGGTTTTCTTAAGAAACTGTTATGATTTTTTTTTTAAATTTTATTTTCTTAAGACATGGCGTTTTTTAATAAATTTCATCACATAACACAACGGTTTTAAGAAATTACCGAGGTGATATCATTTAATCACTTTACATAGAGCTAGCTAACTTGTCTCTTCAGTTGCATATTTTCATTTCCATCAAAAAACAATCCCTGACGAAACAACGCGATTTTCAACCCTAACGAAA